TAGCAATAGAGAGAGAGAGATAGACAGACAGACAGAAATGGCACCCATCTGATGGTTCATTTCCCAAATGTAAGCAACATCTGGGCTTGGGCTGGGGTCCAAGCTGTCTCTCAGGGTCTGCGTAGACCAGAAGCTGGAACCAGGAATCAAACTCAGGCACTTTGATATGGCAGATAGGCATCTTACCACTAGGCCAATCACCTGCCCCAGACCATTGATTCTTATTGCAGACTATTTTTAGAGTATTTAAAGAAAAATTTAGGTGAAAATTAGTCTTTGATCTCTGTTAATTATTTTTAAAATTCTCTCTTTTTTTTTTTCCTTTTCATTCAGTCTCAGCCATTAATTGAATGAGTAAAGGAAAGTTAAAGTACAGGTTTTCATATGTGGAAAGTCCCCTTCTTCATGTCTTTGCTCGTTTCTTGCTGTTCTGTCCTGCTGCTAATGTTAATTACTTTGCTGATGGCTCTAATTGACCCAGTAAGAGGACTGTAGCTCTGTTCAGCCAGGGCTTACCTGATGCTCTGGACTAGAAGGCATTGTTCGCTTTCAGCTTTTAGAAATAGCCTTCCAAGTCCTGAGATCCTGTCCTAGAGTGCCCTTCCCTTTGCAGCTTCCAATACCTTGCCTGTGTACTGTCTGGTTCCAAACTTGCCTCTCCAGCATCCTCTCCCTTCTCACTGATGCCCTGGCCAAGCTGCAGTTCCCCTGAATATGCCGCCCTGCCTTTTCCTGGCTCCTGTGTTTGTACACATTGGTTCTTGTCTGCAGGATCTGTCCTTTCTTGCCTACATTTCCTTGCCCTAATTCTGTCATGGAAACTGCACAAGCCCAGCTTCTTCACTAAAGTTTCATCAGATTAGCTGAAATTAATGTCCCCTTTTAGGAGCTGCTTGATGCTTTATTGTTTGTGCTGTTACTGTAATGCTGTCTTGTCTTTTTTAGCTATGAGATTATAATCACCTTGAGAGTGGGGACTGGGTTTATTTCTCTTTCTGTCCTCAACCCCTCCTTCCATCATGAACACCCTCTGGTGCTCAGGCAGTATCCATCTCATTGAGTTGAAGGAGATGCAAACAGTGCGCTGCCCAGTGCACTGTGCGTGGCTGCTGTTGATATTGTGAATGTCTCTGATTCTTTTGCCTTTCCTGGAGCTGAAATAGTTATCAGTTCCCTTATTAATGGAGGTATACTTCTTTTCATTAAAAAATATAGCTTTTACCTTGGCTTCTCATTAAAAAGGCAATATACATTTATTGTAAAAACTTTAGGAAACAGGCAAGTACAAGGAAGAAAAATTGACTGTTGCAGGTTCTATAGGAAGCAATAGCTGTGGTTAGATTTTGGAGTATATCATTTCAGAAGGTTTTCTATTTGTGAATATTTATATAAACACACACTTAAAATTTACCAACCATAGTATTCTCTCATTTCTTTTTTTTGTTGAGTGATGTTGAAAACATCTTCCCAAATGTCTGTAAAAGTTCATATAAAGCTAGTTAAGATATGCCTCTGTATGTGTATAGTGTGACTGTATGTGTGTGTGTGTGTGTGTGTGTGTGTGTATGTGTTCTGTTTGCTCACATTTTTATTGGGTTGTGTGTTTTTATTTGGTTTTGGGTTTTAAAAGCTCCTGACGTTAAGGATAGTCATGCCTTGTTTTTCATATATTTGGCAATTATTTCTTCTAAATTTTCCTTGACATTTTTATGGTATCTTTTTATTATTCACAAAGTTGAAACATATTTAATGTATTATCTATTTTTATGACTTCTGGTTTTAATATAGCACTTATAAGGCTTCTCTCTAATATTCAATTTGTACTTTTATAGTAAATTTGTTGCTTTATTTTAAAACATATGTAACTTAAATGCTTATATCAGTAGTTGGTTATGAGATGTGATTGAGTGATTTAACTTTCTTTTCCCAAATGTTTACTCACTTGTCCCAAACATATTTATTGTTTCTTTTCTTAAAGATTTAAAATGGCATTATTACTATATAGTAATTTTTTAAAGGGATTAATTTTATTTATTTATGAGTCAGAATTACAGAGGGAGAGAGGGAGAGAGAGCGAGAAAGCACTTCCCTCAGCTGGTTTACTCCCCAGATGGCTGCAACATTCTGGGCTGAGTCAGGTAGAAGCCAGGAGCTTCTTCCGGGTCTCCAACGTGGGTGCAGGGGCCCAAGCACTGGGCCATCCTCCACTGCTTTCCCTGGCACATTAGCAGGGAGGGAGCTGGATCGAAGTGGAACAGCCAGTGCTCATACGTGATGCTGCTTCAGCTGCAGATGGCAGCTTAACCCTCTGTGCCACAGTGCTGGCCCCTATAAATTAAACTTTTGATATCAACTTGAAAGCTTCTCTGGACTTTTTTTTTTTTTTTTGTCAGGCGGAGTGGACAGTGAGAGAGAGAGACAGAGAGAAAGGTCTTCCTTTTGCCATTGGTTCACCCTCCAATGGCCTCCGCGGCCAGCACGCTACAGCTGGCGCACCGCGCTGATCCAATGGCAGGAGCCAGGAGCCAGGTGCTTTTCCTGGTCTCCCATGGGGTGCAGGACCCAAGCACCTGGGCCATCCTCCACTGCACTCCCTGGCCACAGCAGAGAGCTGGCCTGGAAGAGGGGCAACCAGGACAGAATCCGGCACCCCGACTGGGACCGGGACTAGAACCTGGTGTGCCGGCGCCGCTAGGCGGAGGATTAGCCTGGTGAGCCGCGGCGCCGGCCCACTTTTCTGGACTTTCTGTTCTGCCCTTCAGTTGTCTATCTAATGAGATCACCATTGTAAAATTTTAGTTACTGTGCTAGTGCCTTTTTGTTACTCCTTTAAAAAAATATTTGGGCTAGTCTTCTGCATTTTTTACTTTAAGATGAATTTTCAAATGATTTTCTTATGTTAAAAATCTTTCTGAGATGTTATTTGGAATTACATTAGAACTGTTGAATTGGGTGAGGTTAAAAGACATCTTCATAACACTAATGTTTTCCTGGAGAATCAGGGACTATGATTCATGTACTCATGACTTCTGTGTTTCTCATGAGGACTGGCAGTTTATTTTAGAGTCACATATCCTCACATTCATTTAAACCCAAGTTTATTCTTCATTATTTTTATATGTTTTAGAGATATGCCAGGGGTCTTCAACATTTTCATGAAAAATGGGATTAAAAGATAAGTTTATTTTGATGCAAAAATTGGAAATCTATGTATATTAAAAAGTGTGTGTGCAAATTGTTGGAATATTTACTTAGTATAAAGTTGATCTTCTATGTATAAAGTTAATTGAAAATGAATGTAATGAAGAATGGGACTAGAAATGGGAGAGAGAGGAGGAGGGGTGGGAGGGCAGGTATGGGTGGAAGAATAACTATATTCCTAAAGTTGTACTTACGAAATTTGTACTCATTAAATAAAAGGTTTCTTTGGAAAAAAAGTTAATGAAGAAATGTGTATTGTAAAAAACTGCATGGATTTTACATAGTAAGAAAACAAACTTATCTTTTAATTCCATTTTTTAATTTTTAAAATATGTGTATATATGTATATATATTTTTAAAATATTTATGTATTTATTTGAGAGGTAGTGTGACAGAGACTGGGGGAGGAGAGAGAGAGAGAGAATCTTACATCCACTTCTTCACTCCCCAAATGGCTGTGACACCCAGCTCAATAAACTTCAGTGAAGTTTGTGCATCGAAGCATTTCAGTCATATGTAATTGAGTTCAAAATTTACCATCTTTATCTGGATTCAGTTTTCCTAATGTTTAAAATTTATTTTTGTTTCATGACATATGGGGGTAAAAGTAAATTGTAAAAGTGACCACAATTGTATTATTGAGGAATCACATAATTACTGCTGATTGGCAGAGACATTGGTAGCCACAACTAGCAATGTGTTAGCTACTTCATAGAGTCTGGCTTTATGGGGCAGGAAATTAAATGTATTTCATTTTTATTTAGTTGAAGATTTCTCTATTGGAAGGGAACTCTGCATTGGCTATTATTCTCTGATCCAGAGGTACAGATTGCCTGTTCCTGCTCAGCTGGGAGGAACTGAGAGCGTGTGTGTGGTGGGGCTGGGAACTCATAGTTAGCTAATAAAATCTTGCTTTTCTTTCCTGGTATTTTTTTTATTACCTTGAGATGGTATGTTGTAATTACCATCTTAAATCATGTGAGAAAAACTGAAAACACATCATTAACAAATAATATTCCCAAATCAAATCAGTTTGGTGCTGGTCTCCAAAAGAGAATACATTGAAGTCTTGCTTGTCTGTTTTGTTTGTCCATCATCAGGAAATTCTATGATTTCAACAATACTTCAAGACTTGTAGCATTAATCCACTTTCAGGGAGATTATAAGCAATATTTTAGGGTACACATTTGCACTGGTTTAGCTTAATTTCAGTGTTAGGGGATTGCATTCTTCAGTCTCGTTTGTTCCAGCACAGGGGATACAGCAGATGTTGGTGGATATTTAACCTGTCAGCAGCCTTCTAAGTGGTAGGCGTTAGGCCAGGTACTGGGGACCCGGTGATGAGTGACAAGCAGTTTCAAAGAAAGACTGACTGTGGTCAGACAGAACAGAAGGATGGAGCTGTGTGCAGTTCTTCCTGTCTGCTCTTCCTCAGTGATGACATTTTATAAAATTCCGATTATTTATGGTGTGGTCGTGGGACTGTTATAGGGTCATTTCCTTTGGTTACTTGCCTTTTAGTATGTTCCAGGTTAATTAGAATATCAATCTGGTGTTCTAGCATGTATAAAAGGATCACCTTTAAATTGTCTGTGTCTTGTCTCTTTTATTGGCAGATTAAGGAATGGTTTGTTATTGCATTCTGTCAGAGATTCTTCATGATAACCTGTTTTTTACTGTCTGGAAAACTGAAGCCATTTTTGGATTCCATGTCCCTCACATCTGTTTATTGAGCTGACTGTTATTAAAGCTCTGAGTGTCTTATACACAGGCATAACACTGTTTTGTTTTCTTTGTAGTGGTTTGCTGTCTTCTGACTATGTGGAGATTCACTATGAAAATGGGAAACCACAGTATTCAAAGGTATGGTTGACAACGTGTGGAAATCCTGTACTATGACTATATTTACCCTACAGCTGATTAACACACACCTACAGTGCATTGTGTTAATATCTATCTCACTTAAATCACCTGTGCTCTTACAAGGGTTCTCTTTTCAGTGGGGAGAAATTGATTAAAATTTAAAATGTTGGAGATGACATTAGAGGTCCTATACAATCAGTACTAGGCGTGATTATTGTTTTGGTTACTCATGCAATATCTGATATGATGGTATGAAGAGTGTATAGTTCCATATTCACCCCTGAAAGTGGTAGATAAAGAAGAGCCAGGTATCTGGGGTTAGGATTTGAATTGTGACTGGATGGGCTATTAGAATGACAAGTGCAAGTGACTTTGGTGGCCAAGAAGGACCAAGGACATGAAGGGGAAGTAGGAGTCAGGGACTGCTTTCCTTTCTAACCTGCACAACAATTCCATGAGGTTGATACTATTATTATTCCTATCATTCAAAAGGAAAGCTGAGGCAAAGAAAGGGCAAACAAACCTGCCTAAGACGACTGACTGCACATTGTAGTACAGAGGTAATTGGGTGTTTGAGTTGGTTTAGATTATAGCAAGAGAGACATTACTTGTGGCCTCAATCAGGCTGGGTAAAAATTCCAGAAATGGCAACAGAAAGAAACTCTGATTTTTAGGTAGGCAGCAGAGTGTCCTGAAACTGAACAATGTTCATGAATACCCCAGGAAGTGGGGGAGGGGACAGGGAAACAAAACAAAGTGGGGAAATGTCAGGGGTTAGTTTTCTCCCCTCCATTGCTAGCAGTTGTCAGCATAAAGGAGTACTTTTCGTGTGTCAAGGTGAGTTGTGCAGAATAAGAACGGAGATTTCCAGTCTGTTAGCCTCGCAATGAATATTTACAGGTGGCCTTAACTGTAAGTCCACTCAGGGTGCATGGCATTTGGAGGGTTTATACCTGTCCAATTAACACTGGGCACCTTTGTAATATGGTGTGTATTTCAGCCTTTGACTCTTATGGCACCAATGAAGAATTTTCATAAATTATTCTTACTGTTTGTCAGTTCTTGCTGTAGGCTGCATCTTGGGGCTTGGTGAATCTCCCAAAAAGTTAGTGCTGTGAAAGTGAGCAGAGATGCTAAATCGAGTACAGGAATGGTGCTCCCTGGCATTTGTACAAACCAGAGCTTCTGTCAGCTGTGCCGGTGCCCCAAGCACTGCGGATGCTGACTCATGAGCTTGCCGGGAGGAGACAAGGCTGCTTGGGAACTTTATAGACTCAGCAGATGAGCACCTTGGCAGGCTGCAGTAACCGGATCCAAACCTCTCACCCTGAAGTTCAGCCCATTTTTTTAAGAAGCAGAACAGCTAACTGGCCTCTGGAGGTCATTTGAGGTGCCTAAAGTAGTCCTTGTCATTACTAAGAAGCACCAAATCTCACAGTGCTTACAACTGAAATTTAAAACAAAGGATATTTCAACTCTGGAAGAGAAGCTGTGTTCACTGCAGCTGATTGTTGTCTTCATTGCTTTTTTCTCATTTAAGATCCATTTTCTTGAAATAGCTATTATGCCCAAACTTACTTGCTTCATAGATTATGAATTAAAGGTAACAGTCTGTTTCTTGTTGTGCTCATATATATATATATATATATACCCTCTCCCAGGAAACCAAGATGATGTGATACACACCATTTCATAGCAGGATTTTAAAAATGTAACAGTGTTATAAACATTTTATCATGCATTAAAAAAATCTTCTAAACTTTTATCTTAAAAAATTGTATAATTGGCCGGCGCCGCAGCTCACTTGGCTAATCCCCAACCTGCGGCACCGGCACCCCGGAGTCTAGTCCTGGTTGGGGCACCGGATTCTGTCCTGGTTGCTCCTCTTCCAGTCCAGCTCTCTGCTATGGTCCAGGAGTGCAGTGGAGGATGTCCCAAGTCCTTGGGCCCTGCACCTGCATGGGAGACCAGGAGAAGCACCTGGCTCCTGGCTTTGGATCGGCGCAGCGCGTTGGCCGTAGCAGTCATCTGGGGGGTGAACCAACGGAAAAGGAAGACCATTCTCTCTGTCTCTTTTTCTCACTGTCTAACTCTGCCTGTCAAAAAATTGTATAATATTCCTTGCCATTATTTGTTATAGTCTCTTTTTCATTTTTATTTTTTTAACTTTTATTTAATAAATATAAATTTTCAAAGTACAGCTTTTGGATTACAGTGGCTTTTCCCCCCCCCATAACTTCCCTCCCACCCGCAACCCTCCCATCTCCTGCTCCCTCTCCCATCCCATTCACATCAGGATTCATTTTCAATTATCTCTATATACAGAAGATCAATTTAGTATATACTGAGTAAAGATTTCAACAGTTTGTACCCACACAGAAACACAAAGTGTAAAATACTGTTTGAGTACTAGTTATAGCATTAATTCATATTGTACAACACATTAAGGACAGAGATCCTACATGGGGGTAAGTGCACAGTGACTCCTGTTGTTGATGTAACAATTAACACTCTTGTTTAAGGTGTCAATGATCACCTGAGGCTCTTGTCATGAGCTGCCAAGGCTATGGAAGCCTCTTGAGTTCGCCAACTCTGATCTTATTTAGACATGGCCATAGTCAAAGTGGAAGTTCTCTCCTTCCTTCAGAGAAAGGTACCTCCTTCTTTGATGGACCATTCTTTCCACTGGGATCTCACTCACAGAGATATTTCATTTAGGGTTTTTGTTTTTTGTTTTTATTTTTTTTGCCAGAATGTCTTGGCTTTCCCTGCCTGTAATACTCTCATGGGCTTTTTAGCCAGATCTGAATGCCTTAAGGGCTAATTCTGAGGCCAGAATGCTGTTTAGGACATCTGCCATTCTATGAGTCTGCTGTGTATCCCGCTTTCCATGTTGGATCGTTCTCTCCTTTTTAATTCTATCAGTTAGTATTAGTAGACGTTACTCTTGTTTATGTGATCCCTTTGTGTTATAGTGTCTTTTTTTAAAAAAAAATTTTGACAGGCAGAGTTAGACAATGAGAGAGAGAGACACAGAGAGAGTTATAGACAGTGAGAGAGAGACAGAGAGAGAGGTCTTCCTTCTGTTGGTTCACTCCCCTAATGACTTCCACAGCTGGCGCATGCCGATCTGAAGCCAGGAGCTGGGTGCAGGGACCCAAGCACTTGGGCCATCCTCCACTGCCCTTCCGGCCACAGCAGAGAGCTAGACTGGAAGAGGAACAACCGGGACTAGTACCCAGCACCCGAACCCGGACTAGAACCTGGGGTGCCGGCGCCGCAGGCGGAGGATTAGCCAAGTGAGCCATGGCGCCGGCCGTGTTATAATCGCTTTTAAAACCCCCTAGTAATAAACATTTATTAGATTTTCCTCCATCTTTCACTATGCAAATAACTTGAAAGAAAAACTTTCCAGATACATTTTTTTGAACACATGCTTATTAATTACTTAAGGACTAATTCTGAGAATGTGATTTTCTGGGTCAAAGAGTTGACACATTTTTTAAAAAGGTTTTTGATATATGTTGACCGTTTTTATTTTTATATTTATTTATTTGAAAGAGTTACAGAGAGAGGAGAGGCATGCATGTGTGTTTGCTCAGAGAGAGAGAGAGAGAGAGAGAGAGCGCTCCCTCCTATCTGTTGGTTTACTCTCCAAATGGCCATATCAGCCAGGCTTGGGCCAGGCTGAAGCCAGGAGCTAGGAGTATCATCCAGGTTTCCCAGGTGGGGTGTAGGGACCCAAACACTTGGACTATTTTCTGCTGCTTCCCAGGCACATTAGCAGAGAGCTGGATCAGAAGTGGAGCCACTGGAACAGGAACCGGTGCCCACATGAGATGCCAGTGTTGCAGGTGGCAGTGCTCTGCCCCAGTGCTGGCACCCTGGTGATTTTTTCTTTTGAAAATTTATATGTATTTACACTCTTACGTCCATTACATATATACATTTAAAAACATTGTTTAACTTTTCCAAGATTACCTTCCATTTTGCTTAAGAAAATCTTTTTACAATGTATTAAGAAAGGAAATTAATATATAAGAGTGACTGACTGTTTTGTTAATGTATTATAGAAATGTTCATCCAAATACCTCAAGCTATTTAGAAAAAAGTCCACACACACACAAATGTATGCACATACACAGTATTATTTACGTCACTAGAGAAGAACAAAGTCACAATCAGTTTGGCTTTGAAGTGATATGCAAATAGAACATTAGTAGTATTCTGGGAATTAGTTTCAAACAAAATGATGAATCCACTTTTGAAGGTTTTCTATTTTTTTCTCCGTTGCTAAAACCTAGCGAGGGAGAAATTGTACTTCTAGCTAAGAAGAGATTATGTCTTGTCTTTTCCTTTTATTGACTGAGGGTTTCTTTCCATGTAAAATGAATACAGGACTATAGGGGTAAAAAAGTTTAAATGTAATGTGGGTGCTAAGTATCAGTTGACACATTTGAAAGAAGCTTTGTTCTGCACTTGGCTGAGCAATGGCTTTTATTAGAGTTCCTATCTCAGCGCTTTGCACCTAATATGCAATAGGACAACTTTGTTGATTCTTTTTTATATTTTTTTAAACTTTTATTTAATAAATATAGATTTCCAAAGTACAGCTTTTGGATTACAGTGGCTCCCCCCGCCCATAACTTCCCTCCCACCCGCAACCCTCCCATCTCCTGCTCCCTCTCCCATCCCATTCACATCAGGATTCATTTTCAATTATCTCTATATACAGAAGATCAATTTAGTATATACTAAGTAAAGATTTCATCAGTTTGTACCCACACAGAAACGCAAAGTGTAAAGTACTGTTTGAGTACTAGTTATACTGTTAATTCACATAGTACAACACATTAAGGACAGAAATCCTACATGGGGGTAAGTGCACAGTGACTCCTGTTGTTGATGTAACAATTGACACTCTTGTTTAAGGTGTCAGTGATCACCCGAGGCTCTTGTCATGAGTTGCCAAGTCTATGTCTTTTTTACAAATTTAAAGC